AGCGCTGGCCAGGCTTTGTCAGGATTGGTAGATTCGTAGAATCCTAGACTCCTAGAGTTGGAAGAGACCTGGTGGGCCATCCAGTCCAACCCCTTTCTGCCAGGAAGCAGGAAAATCACCTTCAAAGCCCCCCCAAGAGATGACCATCCAGCCTCTGCTTCAAAGCCTCCAAAGAAGGAGCCTCCTTCGACAACACTCCAGGTCAGAGAGAGAGTTCCACTGCTGAACCACTCTCTCTCACGGTCAGGAAGTTCTTCCTCATGTTCAGGTGGAATCTCCTTCCTTTGAAGCCGTGGCTCCATTGCGTCCTAGTCTCCAGGGCAGCAGAAAGGAAGCCTGTTCCCTCCTCCCTAGGATTTCCCTTCATGATCCATGGCTCTCCTCATGCCTCCTCTCAGCCTTCTCTTTTGCAGGCTAAACATGCCCAGCTCTTTCAGCCACTCCTCATAGGGCTTGTTCTCCAGACCCAGGATCCTTTGAGTCTCCCTCTTCTGGACACATTCCAGCTTAGAGTCAACCTCTCCCTTCAATGGCAGTGCCCAGAATTGGACACAGTGTGATTTCTGGTGTGTTCTGACCAAAGCAGAATAGAGCATGGGGAGCAGGACTTCCCTGGATCTGGACACTAGACTCCTCTTGATGCAGGCCAAAATCCCGTTGGCTTTTTTTGCTGCCACATCATGTTCCATGTTCTCCACGAGGACTCCAAAATATTTTCCCCACGTGCTGCTGTGGAGCCAGGCATCATCTTCCCCATTTGGTCTCTTGGCATTTCCTTTTTTCTGCCTAAGTGGAACCTTCATTTGTCCCCTTTTAGGTTCACCGTGTTAGTTTTGGCTCATCATCTCTCTCATCCGTTGAGATCCCTTTGAATTCTGCTCCTTCCTTCTGGAGTCTTGGCTCTCCCTCCTAACCGAGAGGGAGAGAGCTCAAAAGTAATCACAGAATCATCGAATCATAGAGTTGGAAGAAACCTCATGAGCCATCTAGTTGAACCCCCTGTGTGGCGAGGGAAAGAGACTTTTTCCTTATTAAAAACCTCTTTGCTGCCTTATACTGATTCAGTTTCTTCTTTTATAGCAGCTGGGACTTTCTGTGTGCTTTATGTCACAGGCAATGAAACACTCTTGTGTATAACAAAGTAACACAGTTTATTTATAACTTCTGGCTCCAACGCATGTGGTTACATTTGTGTTTTGTTGCAATCTTGAAGCTTACAGTCAGTATCATTTACTTGGTTTACTTTTCTGAATAAACTTTCAATGTTTCACATTCACAAACATGTTACTTGCTTTACACACTCTTGACCGAAATTATATTCTGACTCAGGCAACACTAGCCGCCTTTATGTTCCTTAAAACTCGAGCTCTATTTAACTAACTGCTTCTCTATATCAGAAGTCTTTAACACATCTTCATAACTGCTTATTTCTAACAGGCACTCAAAAGCCAACTCTTCTCTTCACACACAGATTCCTAACTGTCATTTTCAAACTCTCTCACTCTAACTGCCTCTTTCAGAACCTTGGCTCCGCCCCTTTGGAATGTTCAGCTCTCTCACTCCAACTGTCATTTTGGCCTAGCAGCCTTTTCAAATCCTGGGCCTACGCTAATCTGCATATGACCAATCGGCTTCACATATGCAAATGAATCCTATCTCTGCTGTTGCTACCCTGTCTGTACTTATTCTTCCCTATCTGCCATATGTAAACATAGAGCTATACACCAAAACTTTAACATAGAGTAGCAATTTCACTACACCCTGCCATGCAGGAAAAGCACGATCAAAGCCCCCCCCCCCCAACAGATGGTTCTGATTAAAAGCCACCAAATAAGGAGCTTCCACCAGGCTCCTAGGCAGAGAGTTCCACTGCTGAACCACTCTCTCTCACAGCCAGGAAGTTGTTCCTCATTTTCAGGTGGGATCTCTCCTTCCTTGTCATTTGAGCCTGTGGCTTCATTTGGGTCCATGGAAAACAAGCAAACAATGCACAAGTATCTATAATGACATAGAACAGAAATATATGTATGTAAATCTAAATAGACTCTCAAGACAGTAATATACAGCAGTATTCTGTGTTCTCTATTAGTATAACTTGTCTGAGAATTTATACATAAAACAAAATTGTTATCAGCACATTATTATAGAGAAATAAACAACAGACTAAAGATAATAAAGTCCATCCTTTCAGTGAAGGAATTAAAAGGTCTCTATCTTTATCTTCAAAAGAATTCTTCTTTTGGCAAGATAGTCTCAAGGAATTCTTCTTCAGCAATACAGGCTCTGTTGCTCGTTATAGAACTCCTACTACAACAGAGCCTGTATTGCTGAAGAGAATGTAAGTAGAGTAGCGTGTTTCTTTACTGTTATTACAAAATGTTTTTCTAGCAATGTTATTTTGGGAGTTTCATGTATCTATTGTGTATGTTATTTCTACTCCCTATTTAGTGCACTAAGCATAATATTATAACAGACTACACCCTGAGGAAGATATTTGTTCGAAACAAGGATAACAAACCGGAAGACCTTGTTGATTTTGTTGCCTATGAAAGATTGTGTTACCTAAGAAGAATTCCTTGAGACTGAGATTTTGTTGCCTAAGAAAGACTGTGTTGCTTAAAGAAGAATTCCTTGAGACTATCTTGCCAAAAGAAGAATTCTTTTGAAGATAAAGATAGAGACCTTTTAATTCCTTCACTGAAAGGATGGACTTTATTATCTTTAGTCTGTTGTTTATTTCTCTATAATAATGTGCTGATAACAATTTTGTTTTATGTATAAATTCTCAGACAAGTTATACTAATAGAGAACACAGAATACTGCTGTATATTACTGTCTTGAGAGTCTATTTAGATTTACATACATATATATCCATGGAAAACAAGCCTGCTCCTTCTTCCTTGTGGCATCCTGGCAATAGGCACACAATACTGACAGTAATAATCAATGGCTGCCTCTCCCTTTCCAGGTAGAAGTGGACGGGCAGAAGTTCCGAGGGGCCGGCCCCAACAAGAAGGTGGCCAAGGCCAGCGCTGCCCTGGCCGCTCTCGAGAAGCTCTTCTCCGGCCCCAACGCAGCCGCCAACAAGAAGAAGAAGCTCCTTCCGCAGGTGAGGCTCGGACGGCCGGCGGGCAGGTGGGTGGGGAGGAGATCTTCACTCAGGCAAAGCCTTGGACAATGCCTCAGAAGCCAAATCTACCGTATATACTCAAGTATAAGCCGACCCAAATATAAGCTGAGGCACCTAATTTTACCACAAAAAACTAGGGAAACATATTGACTCGAGTATAAGCCGAGGGTGGAAAATGCAGCCGCTACGGGTAAATTTCAAAATAAAAATAGATACCAATAAAATTACATTAATTGAGGCACCAGGAGGTGAAATGTTTTTGAATATTTACATAAAACTGTAATTTGAGATAAGACTGCCCAACTCTGATTAAATCATTATTTTAACCTTCTTCAATGTAAATATACTTGCACATCCTTCCAGGAATAATGAGAATAAAATACTAAATGTAATAGTAATAACAATAAAGTAAAATCATGGAAATGCAATGATAATAGTAATAATAGAGCAAAATAATAAATGTAATAATAGACTAAAATAATAAATGCAATAGTAATATAGTATAATAAATGTAATAATAATAACAATAAAGTAAAATAATGGAAATATATATTAAAATACATGAGGCAATTCCTATTGTTCCTCTAGCCAGTGTGTGAAGGGATTTGCAGTCCAGCTGTTGCACCCCTGGCCTGAGAACACCTATGACCACAGCACCACATCAGAGTCCAGAATATGCACAAACAGTTTATTGCACAAACTCATTAAAAGTATCAGTAAATCAGGAATAAAGAAAGAAGATGTATAGTCCAAAATAGTTTATGCCTAGGTGATAATCCAACAGGAGTCCTACAGATTCAGAGGTAACACAGCCCAGGAACAGCCCAAAGTCACAAAAACGGCTGAAGTCCACAAGCAAAAAGGTATACTTAGTAAAACTTGAACAAGAACCCCGAAAACAGGAGCATAGAAACTTCCAGAATCTTTGAATCCACAACCAAGGCTTGACCAGAGAACTCACGCCTAGCTTCTCACTTGAACCCAGTTCAGTTGCCTGAACTGACCCTTAAGTAAACAACTTGCTATTTAATAGATACCCATGAAAGCATTCTGTTTTCCATGAATTTTCCTCCCAACATTCCACGTAATCTCCCTGACCTAAGATGACTATTTTCTGCTGTAAACTAAGACCTTAATTGATTTCCGTAGCCCCAGGTGTTCCTTCTGTATCATTTAGCTCTTCACCCAATTCCTTATCTAATGTTGCAGTTTCTGGCTCCTCTTGGTAACCTTGAAGCTCTGTACTTTCCAAGTTAGATTTCTCACAGAGAGAAGCATAATCCCCCTGACATAAATCTTAATCACTTGGAGTCCCAGGAAATCCCACAAGCAATCCCATAATCCTCTCAAAATCATCAGTGAACCCATCAGTCTCAGGCTGATCTACAACACCAACACCGTCTGAAGGGCTTTGGGGGCTGTAGAGTCGGTACCAAATGAAACATTGCTCCACTCCAAACAAAAGTCTTTAAACAATTCCACAAAAGTCAACTTTGACACCGAAATATAACACCGCCCGAGCTCTGCGAGTGCAGCATTTTTCAGAATGAAGCAGAGAACGTTTGAGGACCAGGACATCCGCAGGGAGACCAAGGGGCTTGTTGATAAAGCTATTCCCCTCCCAACACTGCTGTGGCAGCCACCTCTCCACAAAAGTCAACACTGACCCTGAAATACAACACCGCCTGAGCTCTGTGAGTGCGGATTTTTTCCGAATGAAGCAGGAAGTGTTTGAGGACTGGGACATCCGTAGGGAGACCAAGGTGCTTGTTTATAAAGCCATTCCCCCCCAACCCTGCTCTATGCCTGTGAGACATGGACTGTCTACAGACGTCACATGAAACTCCTGGAAAGATTCCATCAGCGCTGCCTCTGGAAAATCCTGCAAATCTCTTGGGAAGACAGGCGGACAAACGTCAGTGTGCTGGAAGAAGCAAAGACCACCAGCACTGAAGCGATGCTCCTCTGCCATCAACTCTGCTGGACCGGCCACGTTGTCCAGATGCTCGACCACCGTCTCCCAAAGCAGTTGCTCTACTCCGAACTCAAGAATGGAAAACG